TGGAGGGTGATAGGATGGGAAAGGGAGATACATTTTAGATTGCTGATGTCTTCATGAAAAGAAAAAAAAAAAATCTGAGAGACGACATGACAGACGATGGATTGAATACGATATAATGAAGGAAAATGGATGTCCTCAGGTGTTCCGGTCTTCTGCTAGGCATTAGTGGTGGGATGTCGATGCAACCGGCGGGCCCCATTGGAAGATTTTTCTCTTCACATCTTGTTCTGATGACAACTGTAAACTGTTGGATTTTCTACTCACTTTCTGTCTCAGTGACAATGGTTATCAGAACGGGAGACAGCTGCCCCCCCTCCCCCCTCCCCCCCATAACAAGTTCTGAAACATGGACCTTCATGGAAGGATCACACCTAGGAGATAGTTGCCACCCCGTAACTGATAAGTTCCTGAAGAAGAACCTTCATGGAAAGATTACACCTAGGAGATAGTTGTCACCCCATAAAAGAGAGGGATCTTCATGGAAAGATTACACCTAGGCGATAGTTGTCACCCCATAAAAGAGAGGGATCATGGAAAGATTACACCCGATATAAACTGATACGTTCCTGAAGAAGTACCTTCATGGAAAGACACAACCAGAAGATAGTTGTCACCCCATAACAGAAGGGATCTTCATGGAAGGATCACAACCAGGAGACAGTTGTCACCAGGGGCGGACTGACCATTTGGAAACTCGGGCACTGCCCGAGGGCCCGGGGTCAGTAGGGGGCCCCATGAGATGCCCCTGGTACCTTTTTCATAGGCTTTTTTGAGTTTGGGCAAGGACACAGGGGCCCCATGATCCCCTATTGCCCGGGGGCCCCATGAGTTGTCAGTCTGCCCCTGGTTGTCATCCTATACCAGTAGGTTCTGAAACATGGACCTTCATGGAAGGATCACACCTAGGAGATAGTTGTTACCCCATTACTGATACCTTCCTGAAGAACTACCTTCATGGAAAGACAACCAGAAGATAGTTGTCACCCCATAACAGATGGGATCTTCATGGAAGGATAACAACTAGGAGACAGTTGTCACCCTATACCAATAGGTTCTGAAACACGACCTTCATGGAAGGATCCAATCAGGAGATAGTTGTCACCCCATAACAGATAGGAGAAACACAAACCTTCATGGAAGGATCACACCTAGGAGATAGTTCTCACCCCATAACTGATAGATTCCTGAGGAAGTACCTTCATAGAAAGATCACACCTAGGAGTTAGTTATCACCCCATAACAGATCGATGTCCCCGTGATCTGTCCTTGTATGGCAGCCATATCCCAGAAAAATAGTTGTGTGGCCCCATCTGACCGCCCTTCGGCCCCATTCACACCAGAGCGTTTTTGTAAGCACGAAGCTCAAAAATGCTCAGGGAAGAAAAATAATCAATATTCCTCACATCTCCACTCCAAGTTGCCTGAAGCTGCTGTCCATGTATGACCGTTGTCTACTGTGCATGTATGACCATTGTCTGCTGTCTATGTATGACCGTTGTCTGCTGTGCACGTATGACTGTTGTCTGCTGTCTATGTATGACCGTTGTCTGCTGTGCACGTATGACTGTTGTCTGCTGTCTATGTATGACTGTTGTCTGCTGTGCATGTATGACCGTTGTCTGCTGTGCATGTATGACCGTTGTCTGCTGTGCATGTATGACCGTCGTCTGCTGTCCATGTATGACCGTTGTCTGCTGTCTATGTATGACGTTGTCTGCTGTCTATGTATGATCGTTGTCTGCTGTCCATGTATGACCATTGTCTGCTGTGCATGTATGACCGTTGTCTGCTGTCTATGTATGATCGTTGTCTGCTGTCCATGTATGACCGTTGTCTGCTGTGCATGTATGACCATTGTCTGCTGTGCATGTATGACCATTGTCTGCTGTCTATGTATGACCGTTGTCTGCTGTGCATGTATGACCATTGTCTGCTGTGCATGTATGACCGTTGTCTGCTGTCTATGTATGACCGTTGTCTGCTGTCTATGTATGACCGTCGTCTGCTGGCCATGTATGACCGTCGTCTGCTGTCCATGTATCACCGTTGTCTGCTGTCCATGTATGACCGTTGTCTGCTGTCCATGTATGACCGTTGTCTGCTGTCTATGTATGACCGTCGTCTGCTGTCCATGTATGACCGTTGTCTGCTGTCTATGTATGACTGTTGTCTGCTGTCTATGTATGACCATTGTTTGCTGTCCATGTATGACCGTTGTCTGCTGTCTATGTATGACCGTTGTCTGCTGTCTAAGTATGACCGTGTTCTGTTGTGTATGTATGACCGTTGTCTGCTGTCTATGTATGACCGTTGTCTGCTGTCTATGTATGACCGTTGTCTGCTGTCTAAGTATGACCGTGTTCTGTTGTGTATGTATGACCGTTGTCTGCTGTCTATGTATGACTGTTGTCTGCTGTCTAAGTATGACCGTGTTCTGTTGTGTATGTATGACCGTTGTCTGCTGTCTATGTATGACCGTCGTCTGCTGTCCATGTATGACCGTTGTCTGCTGTTCATGTATGACCGTTCTAATTCAAATTTATTCTATTCGAAATTCAAATTTCTGAAGACGTTTACATTCTATTGTTTTTTCTATTCTATTCTCTATCTGAATTTAAAGTCTATTTGAAATTTGAATTTCGGAAGACAGTTATATTTTTTCTAGTTTATCCTGTTCATTTGTTTTTTTCTAGTCTATGCTATTTTTTTCTAGTCTATTCTTTTCTATTTTATTCCAATCTATTCTGTTAGAATTCAGATTTATTCTATTCAAAATTTCAATTTCGGAAGACAGTATATTCTTTCTATTTTGTTCTATTCTATTGCTTTTTCTATTCAATTTTTTACTATTCTTTTCTATTCTATTCAAATCTGAATTTATTCTATTTGAAATTTGAATTTCAGAAGACAGTTACTGTATATTCTTTCTATTTTAATCTACTCTATGGTTTTTCTGTTCTATTCTATTCAAATTAAAATGTATTTTATGTGAAATTCGAATTTAAGAAGACAGTTATATTCTTTCTATTTGATTCTATTCTATTGTGTTTTCTATTCTATTCTTTTCTATTCTATTACGCACCCATCTAAAGTTGCATCCCAGTTGCACGCAGCCAGTCACATCAAAGTCGCATTCAAGTCAATACTTTCCTATTGGCAAAAAGTTACATCAAAACACAACAAAAACATGTGCTCAGAAACGCAAAATGCACCGCAAAACACGACAATCGCAACACGCAGAGGTGAATTTTTAATTCTGTTGCTTTTCACCTAGGAAGGATGGTGGGAGCCCCCCATAAATGCCACAGAAGGTGTCCAGACCTGCAAAGATTGCACCAATACAGAGGGCTAGAAGAAAATGCCAAAAGGGATTCCACTCTCCAGCATCCCCCAGAAAATGAAATATCAGTTTTGGGTGGTGGACCGGCCATTTCAAGAATAAGTTCACTTTTTAGAAAAAAAATAAAAATGCATATTTTTGCAGGTAAAAATTTTTTCTTTGATTATTTTTTTTCTCAGGATCCTCCAGAGCATCGCACCAGGGATCAGCAGAGACCGGCTTGACATGAGGCTCTACCAATCAGAAAGGCGTGCAGAGTCTGCCATCTAATGGACATTTTAGAAAACTACAGCTATGGAGAACTGCTAGCTCCTCCATGTAAATGAATGGTTCAGTGGGGCTCATTCTTCAGGCTTTGTCTGGGTGACAGTTGTCATCATTCAAAAGGGAAACCCTCTAGCTTCGGATCCAGCAGGAGAATCAGCAATGCAAGAGGGTCATGGGGACAGGATTCATCCTAAAGCGGTATTAAACCCCAAACCAAAAATGTAATACATTGCAGAAAATGTGGCGGCTGCATTAGTTTTCTTTTTTTTTTTCCCTTCTGTTTTCACCTGGCGAACCGTCCAGTAACACACCTCCTGTATTGGTGAGACACCACTCTGGATGAAAGAGCACAGGGGGCACAGCGCACAGCAGTGGCAATATAATCAATGTTTGATTTTGGGTTTGACAAAGGTGACAGTTTTGATACATATGAGTTGTTTGACCCCCTCACCTACCGGGCACTTTCACCCCCCTTCTACCCTCAGGCCAATTTTCAGCTTTCAGCCCTGATGCACTTTGAATGACAATTGCGCGGTCATGCAACACTGTACTCAAACTAAATTTTTATCTTTTTTTTTTTTTTTTTTATAGACAAATATAACTTTATTTTGGTGTTATTTAATCACCATTGGGGGTTTTTTTTTTGCTAAACAAACAAAAAAAGACCAAATATTTTGAAAAAAAAAAGTTTTTCTTAGTTTCTGTTATAAAGTTATGTAAATGATGAATTTTCTTCTTCACTGATGGGCACTGATGAGGCAGCACTGGTATGCGGCACTAAAAGGCGGCACTGATGGGCATTGATAGGTGACACTGGTGGGCACTGATAGGTGGCACTGTTGGGCACTGATAGGCGCCACTGATGGGCATTGATAAGCGGCACTGATGGCACTGATAGGCAGAGCTGATGGGCATTGATGGACGGCACTTATGGGCACTGATAGGCAGCACTGATGGTCATTGATGGGCACTATTAACCTCACTGATGGGCACTGATAGGTGGCACTGATGGGCATTGATAGGTAGCATTGATGGGCACTGATAACCAGCACTGATGGGTATTGATGGGCACTATTAGCCTAACTGATGGGCACTGATAGGCGGCACTGATGGGCATTGATAGGCAGCATTGATGGGCACTGATAGCCAGCACTGATGGGCATTGATGGGCACTATTAACCTCACTGATGGGCACTGATGAGCACTGATAGATGGCACTGATGGGCATTGATAGGCAGCATTGATGGGCATTGATAGCCAGCATTGATGGGCACTATTAGCCTCACTGGGTACTGATGGAGCTACACTGATCATCAGGGCAAGCCTTGATCTCATGCAGCGGCAGAATGAAACCACAGCAGACAGAGGCACCGGCGTGGAACCGCACACTGACCTGGAACATCACCGTGAAGAACACCACCACTATTGTTGTGGCCACGAAGTATCCCTTGGCCTTGACTTTCTTGCCGTCCAACAAGATCACAAGAGCGAAGGCCACTGCCCCTCTCAGGCCGCCGTATGACATCACAACCTGATCGATCCTGTCCAGTGGGAGGAGTCGAAAGTGATTTAGCACGCAAGTCTGTAGGATCACACCTGGAAGATAAAGCCAACCTATCATTCCGGTTGGGATTAAAGATAAAACATTGCGTTTGTATTGCTTCTTTTAGATACGCATGTGAAGGAAATCAGCACAGTGGCTAAGTGGTTAGCACTTCCACCTGGCAGTACTAGAGTAGTGGTTCAAATCCCAACCACGGAACCACCTGCCTGGAGTTTGCATGTTCTCCCTGTGCTTGCGTGGGTTTCCACTGGGTATTCCAGTTTCCTCCCACACTCCAAAGACATGCTGGGAGGTGAATTGGATCCTATCTAAATTGTCCCTAGTATGTGTGTATGTGTGAATGTGAGTTAGGGACCTTAGAATGTACGCTCCTCGGGGGCATGTTCTCCCTGTGGGGGGTTTCCACTAATGTGAATGTACAATATATATGTGTAAGTGCTGCATAAATTGATGGCGCTATATGAAGTACCTGAAATAAATAAATTGTTGTGATTTATGTACACACCTACAGCCACGTGCTCACAACATACTGCTTCCAGCTTTACAGTGGTTTGGGGGGGGGATTTACTAAAACCGGCGCACTCAGGATCTGGTGCAGCTGTGCATGGCAGCCAATCAGCTTCTAACTTCAGCTTGTTCAATTAGACTTTGATAATAAAGCTGGAAGCTGATTGGTTCCTATGCAGAGCTACACCAGATTTTGCACCCTACAGTTCTAATGAATAACCCCCAATGAGTCAGTAAACTGAAATCGATGCACTGCCTGAGTGGGGGTTATGGCAACAGCTGTAAATGTTCATTTACATGGGTGGCTAAGGGGCGGTAAAAACAGAACGATCCCCCCCATGGTTAGTGTGCAGGCAGGAGATCCTGCCAACCAGTTACACCGACCATTACAGTGATTATCAGCCTCACCAGCGGTCCCTCAGGTATGAGATGTTACAGTACAATTGTCCCTGCTGGCCCAATGTAAGTATGAAATAAAGGACATGCCTGGAGCTCGGCTTTTAAATTTTTTTTTTTCCTAAAATAGGGGGGGGGGGGGGGGGACTCAGCGCAGCATTTCTGGCAATAAAAATAAATACACAGAATATAACATTTACAGGTAAAGTTGATCCAGGGAATATCCGATTGCCTCTCGGGGGATCAGGAAGGAATTTTTTCCCTGCAGGAGCAAATTGGATCGTGCTTTGCTGGGTTTTTTGCCTTCCTCTGGATCAACTGTGGGTGTAGGATTATAACTTTTTTTTTTTTTTGGTTGAATTGGATGAACTTTTGTCTTTTTTTTCAGCCAGGCTAACCATGTAACAGTCATATGTATGTTGAATAATTGGGGTGACCATCGGGGTGGTAGGAGGTCAAGACCCAGTTAGTAACAAAGTGCCACGTCATGTCCCTCCCTGTGCCGAAAGCCACTTGGGATTGTTAAGTATTGTATTTTTTATGATTTTTTGAATGTATTTTGCATGTTGTGTTTTGTGTGACATTAAGCTGGTTGTTAAGGAGTGGGCAGCCTCTGGCGTCCCTAACAACCAGTCAACAATATGGTTGTCAAGGAGCGGGCAGCCTCTGGTGTCCTTAACAACCACTAAACAACATGGTTGTCAATGAGCGGGCAGCCTCTGGCGTCCTTAACAACCAGTAAACAAAATGGTTGTCAAGGATCGGGCAGCCTCTGGCGTCCTTAACATCCAGTAAACAAAATGGTTGTCAAGGAGTGGGCAGCCTCTGGCGTCCTTAACAACCAGTCAACACAACATGGTTGTCAAGGAGCGGGCAGCCTCTGGTGTCCCTAACAACTAGTCAACAACATGGTTGTCAAGGAGCGGGCAGCCTCTGGCGTCCCTAACAACCAGTCAACAACATGGTTGTCAAGGAGCGGGCAGCCTCTGACGTCCCTAACATCCAGTCAACAAAATGGTTGTCAAGGAGCGGGCAGCCTCTGGCGTCCCTAACAACCAGTCAACAAAATGGTTGTCAAGGAGCAGGCAGCCTCTGGCATCCTTAACATGCAGTAAACAAAATGGTTGTCAAGGAGCGGGCAGCCTCTGGCGTCCTTAACAACCAGTCAACAACATGGTTGTCAAGGAGCGGGCAGCCTCTGGCGTCGTTAACAACCAGTCAACAACATGGTTGTTAAGGAGCAGGTGCCGTGTGTCCTTAACAACCATGTTGCTTACTGCTGTGCACTGTGATTACTAGGCGCAGGAAGAATTTTTAGCATGTTGCTTACTGGTTGTTAAGGATGCTGGTGGCTGCCCACTTGACATAACGACGTGTAAGCCCCATTCTGAGCAGTAGTACTGTGAGCCCGGGGAAGCATTATGACACGCCCCCAGGAGGTGTGTCCATGACAGCCTGGGCTTACAGGACAGGGTTATACAACGCACACTGTCATACAACCCCGGAGACCAGCAACTGCAGGATTCTGCAGGGGATAGTGGAAGAGAAGAGTTAAATATTGCAATATATAGACAACTGACTTGATATAATGTTTTCAGAAATCCTGGATTTGGGCTTCAAAGTTCTGTTGGCACCGGGAGCAGACATGAGGGATCCTTTACCAGGGAAAATATTTTATGAAACAATCTAAAAGTACAATAGATATTAAATAGTTTGAGGATCGGACTCACCGATTGCCCTGAAGACAAAGATGAAGACGAGCGTGGATAGGACCAGCGCCGAGTCCCAGATCCACTTGGAGGTGTCCACAGCGGAAATGCCCAGGAAGATGAAGATGATGGTCTCGGAGCTGCTGGCCAGGGTCTTCATGGTGTATTTGACGGTGGTCCGGGACTTGTTGGAGATGTTGGCCTCTACATACTTCTTACAGCACAAGCCGCAGAACGTCACCCTGCAGGAGGAAAGCGAGAGATTCTGTCGCTCAGCATGTCTATCAGGCTCAACACTCACTGGCCACTTTATTAGGTCCACCTTGCTAGTTCCGGGTTGGACCCACTTTTACCTTCAGAACTGCCTTCATTATTCGTGGTATTGATTCAGCAAGGTGTTCAAAACATGGATTTTGGTCCATATTGACATGAGTTACTGTTGCCTTTCTATCATCTCCAACCAGTCTGCCCATTCTCCTCTAACCTCTGAAGGCATTTCCCCCTCACAACTGCCACTCACTGGATATTTTCTCTTTTTCGGACCATTCTCTGTAAACCCTAGAGATGGCTGTGTGTGAAAATCCCAGTAGAGGCCCTGTCATCCCATGTCACAAGGGAAGTTGTTTATCCATGGTTGTTGGTGCCACACCAGCCTGTGTGGCACCAACAACCATGCCACGTTCACAGTCACTTAAATCCCCTTTCTTCCCCATTCTGATGCTCGGATTGAACTTCAGTAAGTCGTCTATACCGTGTCTAGATGCCTAAATACATTGAGTTGCTGCTCTGTGATTGGCTGATTAGCAAATTGTCTTACCGAGCCATTGAACAGGTGGACCTAATAAAGTGGCCGGTGAGTGTCTATTGTCAGATTATGGGTCCTTTCACACGGAGCGGGCCCTTTAGCGGATCTCTCCGCTGATCCTCGCTGAGCAAGTGGATGACAGGTCTGTGTGCGCTCCACTGCTGCAGAGTGGACACAGAGCTGCTCGCTCTCCTCAATGGGTGGGTCGCATGAAAATGGATCGCCTGTCCGTTTTCATCCGACTCGATCCGACGGATGGAAGGGAAATTGGATCCCTTTTTGGCGGATCGGATGTCAGTGGGTGTAAATGGACACATGTCCCGTCGCTTCATAGAGGAGTATAAAGGTTCCGATTGGGTCCACCTGAAAATGGGCAGGAGAATCCGATCGGAACACCCGTGTGAAAGAGCCCAAAATCAAAAAGAAAGTCAAAGTGGACCTGATTGAATAAAATTTGTGACATGTCACAGTATGCAACAATAGTATTGTGGGTTTTTTTGTGGGGGGGAAATTCCCACCTTCATCATTAAGAATTGGTCCCAGGGGGGAGGGGAGAAGGGAGTGGGAGATGTAGGTGAAATGTCTGTTTCTTTTTATATATGTATATATATATATATATATACTGTATATATATACTTATGTGTAATAATATATTATATATATAATAATAATTTTTTATATTTTAATAGTTTTAATCCTTTGTATATATGAAAAATTTTCCTGTAATAAAAGATTTGTTATTATTATTATTATATTAATAATAATAATAATAAATAATAATAACAGTAATAATAGTCTTAATAATTTTATATATATATTCTTTTTTATATTTTCCTTTGTAATGAAAAATGTAATAAAAGATTTGTTATTATTTTTATTATTATTATTATTATTAATAATAATAATAATAATAATAATAATAACAGTAATAATAGTCTTAATAATTTTACATATATATATATAATTTTTTTTTTTTTTTTCAATTAGGATGAGTGGGGGTGTTCAATGTATTTGGTGAAACAACAGGAATGTAATGTCTAGAGATGCTTTTTAGCTAATTTGTATGTCATTTTTTTTTACTTTTTATATATAATAAATGACAATAAATCTTTTTAATAGGAAAAAAAATAAATAGAAATTAAAAACAAATTAAGAATCGGTCCCTAAGCTCCAGTCAGGGACTTTAACCACTTGCCTACCGGGCCAATTCTGACCTTCCACTTCTATATGTGAAAAAAAAAACATCTTTTTTTGCTAGAAAAGTACTTAGAACCCCCAAACATTATTTTTTTGTAAGCAGAGATCCTAGAGATTACAATGGTGAGTGTTGCATTTTTTTTTTTATTTCACACACAGCGGTTTTTCAAATGCAAATTTCTTTGGAAAAAAATACACTGTAATGATTTTTAATGCACACAAACCCCAATGTAATACTCATTTTTTTGGTAAAAACATAAAAGATGACGTTACACCGAGTAAATAGATACAAAGCATGTGACGCTTTCGAATTGCTTCAACCCGTGGAACGGAGCCAAACTTTGGTACCTAAAAAACTCCATAGGCCTTTACAGTTGACCAGTTTAGAGTTACACAGGAAGTCTGCTGGTAGAATGATTGCCCTCGTTCTGACGTTTGCGGAGATACCTCACATGTGTGGTGAGATCGCCCTTTACATACGTGTGCGGGACTGGTGTGCGTGCCCGTATAGGCAGAAGGGGACGCTTTCATTTTGTTATTATTATTTATTTTACTTGAATAAACATTTTTTTTTTTTATTTAATTCACTTTATTGCTGTCACAAAGGATAAACAACTTCCCTTGTGACATGGGCCATGACAGGGCCTCTTTATAAAGAGATCTGGGGTCTATTAGTCCATTTTCTGATTGATGAGGTGGGGAGTATGAGGATTGGATGAGGTGGGGAGTATGAGGATTGGATGAGGTGGGGAGTATGAGTATTGGATGAGGTGGGGAGTATGAAGATTGGATGAGGTGGGGATCGAGGTTTGGATGAGGTGGGGAGTATGAGGATTGGATGAGGTGGGGGGATCGAGGATTGGATGAGGTGGGGAGTATGAGGATTGGATGAGGTGGGGAGTATGAGGATTGGATGAGGTGGGGATCAAGGATTGGATGAGGTGGGGAGTATGAGGATTGGATGAGGTGGGGAGTATGAGGACTGGATGAGGTGGGGAGTATGAGGATTGGATGAGGTGGGGAGTGTGAGGATTGAATGAGGTGAGGAGTGTGAGGATTGGCTGAGGTGGGGATCGAGGATTGGATGAGGTGGGAGTGTTGAGGTGTGAGGTTTGGATGAGGTGGGGATCGAGGATTGGATGAGGTGGGGAGTATGAGGATTGCATGAGGTGGGGAGTATGAGGATTGGATGAGGTGGGGGATCGAGGATTGGATGAGGTGGGGAGTGTGAGGGATTGGATGAGGTGAGGATCGAGGATTGGATGAGGTGGGGAGTATGAGGATTGTATGAGGTTGGGGGGAGTATGAGGATTGGATGAGGTGGGGGGATGAGGTCGAGGATTGGATGAGGTGGATGAGGTGGGGAGTGTGAGGATTGGATGAGGTGGGGAGTGTGAGGATTGGATGAGGTGGGGATCGAGGATTGGATGAGGTGGGGAGTGTGAGGATTGGATGAGGTGGGGAGATTGTGAGGATTGGATGGATGGTGGGGATCGAGGATTGGATGAGGGTGGGGGGTGTGAGGATTGGATGAGGTGGGGATCGAGGATTGGATGAGGTGGGGAGTATGAGGATTGGATGAGGTGGGGATCGATGAGGATTGGATGAGGTGGAGAGAGTATGAGGATTGGATGAGGTGGGGAGTATGAGGATTGGATGAGGTGGGGATCGAGGATTGGATGAGGAGGGGAGTATGAGGATTGGATTGATGTGGGGATCGAGGATTGGATGAGGTGGGGAGTATGAGGATTGGATGAGGTAAGGAGTATGAAGTCACATGTAGGAGGTGTTCTGTAGTCCAGTCTGCGGAGGGAAGGAGCTCAGGAATATGATCTCTCCCAGGATTTCCTCCATCGACAAGTATTTGTTTGCATTGATTGAACAGATACAACAGATGGCGTTTGCACCAATAGCGAGTCGCTGTCCTGATTCTGCCTGGAAGTTGCTTCCCGATTGCAGAGATAATACAAAGAACAATCTGATCATTGCTCTGCCTAGAGAATCACTACCATAGCGCCACCTACTGGTGTGGCTGAAAATAGCTTCATGTTTGAACTAGATGGGGGTTTGCATGTTGTCGCTTTACATAAGATGCGTACTAAATCTGGAGCGCTCAGAATCTGGAGCAGCCAATCAGCTTCTAGCTTTAGCTTGCACAGTTAATCTTGGACAATAAAAGCCGGAAGCTGATTGGTTCCTATGCAGAGCCGCAGCAGATTTTGCACCCTCCGATTTTAGTAAATCTTTCCTTTTGATTCAGACACAGAGGCTGATTTGTTGTCCAGCCCTGAAAATCCAACAAGCTGACCTTTCCGTGTCATAGACAAAGAACAGATGATAAGTGAGAAGTGGCAGTTGATATTGGGTGCGTGGGCTGCGTCGTGACTAGGCTCGGTGAAGCGGCTCGCATGCATGATGAGTCAGCGGGGGTGTAGGATGCTCAATGTTCCCCCGGAGGACGCTCTTCACCTCATACTTCTCACCTCTCTCTGTGACTCAGCAGTTTTGTAATGAGCCAACGGTCTGGAGAGGAATCGGATCCTCTGAAAACCAGGCAAGACGCCGGCGATGTGCGGCACGCATCGGAGTGCGCTACGTGGGCGCTGTGCAGGCTGTGTCATCGCTGTTGTCTCACTCCACGCGCAGCGTTTTTCATGGTCACAATGTCTGGAGTACACCAGGGCAACCATTACACTATATAGAATAGAATAGAAAAAATGGGGGGGAAATAGATAGGATAGAAAAAATGGGAAAAAAGAAAGAATAGAATAGAATAGAAAAAATGGGGAAAAAAGAAAGAATAGAAAAGAATAGATCACAACAGAAAATAGCTGTATATCTGCTGTCATAGGCATGCGCACAGGGCGTGCCTCCCTAGAAATATCATCATCATGATCATATACTGTAGCTGTATATCAAAATATAAAAGAATAGAACAAAACAGAATGAAACAGAATATAAAAGAGAAAATAGAATAGAAAAGAATACAATAAAACTGTATAGAATAAGATAGAATGGAAATAAAGAATAGAATAGAAAAATTGAGAATAAAAGAAAGAATAGAATAGAAAAGAATAGATCACAACAGAAAATAAAGGTATATCTGCTGTCATAGGCGTGCGCACGGGGCAGGCCTCCCTAGAAATATCATCATCATCATCATATAGCTGTATATCATCATATAAAAGAATAGAACAAAACAGAATGGAACAGAATAGAAAAGAGAATAGAAAAGAATACAATAAAACTGTATAGAATAACATAGAATGGTAAAAAAAGAATAGAATAGAATAGAAAATGGGAGAGAAAAAAGAATAGAATAGAATGGAAAAAAAGGGAACAAAAGAAAGAATAGAATAGAAAAAGAATAGATCACAACAGAAAATAGCTGTATATCTGCTGTCATAGGCGTGCGCACGGGGTGTGCCGGAGGGGCCTAGGCGTGGCCTGATCACCCCGTGTGCATTACAATTATTGCTCTGTGTGGCAATAGGGATATGGGAAAGATCTCCCACTGAGAAAAGATACGCATGTGTGTTTGATCTTTGGGCTGTGCACCCTCATGCCCTAGGCTGCATGCGTACTTCTGTGATCTTCTAAGGCACACGTGTCAAACACAAGGCCTGCGGGTTCAATCCGGCCCTCCAGACCATTACGTGTGGCCCTCGCCGCTCCCCTGTAGCTGCAAAACACCCCCAGAGTGGAGGCCATAAAAGTCCATGTGCGTGGAAAGGCCGGCGGCCCAATACTGCGGGCAATACGGTGTGTACCGGTCCTAAGCACGGGTGAAAGTTCTCTATTTCCGGTAAAGCTACATGGTCCGGTCGGAAAGTGGTCTTATTGTGTTTTTGCGCATTAAAATTTAACAAAGTTTTTTTTTCTACCAGAAATAATTTTCATTCGAAAAACTGCTGCATATATATAGCGTGATATAAAAATCTGCAATAATTCGCTAGGTCCTCTTACCTAAAAAATGATATTTGTATATATATATATATATACAGTCAGGTCCATAAATATTGGGACATGGACACGATTCTAACATTTTTGGCTCTATACACCACCACAATGGATTTGAAATGAAATGAACAAGATGTGCTTTAACTGCAGACTGTCAGCTTTAATTTGGGGGTATTTACATCCAAAGTAGGTGAACGGTGTAGGAATTACAACAGTTTGCATATGTGCCTCTCCCACTTGTTAAGGGACCAAAAGTAATGGGACAGAATAATAATCATAAATCAAACTTTCACTTTTTAATATTTGATTGCAAATCCTTTGCAGTCAATTACAGCCTGAAGTGTGGAACGCATAGACATCACCAGACGCTGGGTTTCATCCCTGGTGATGCTCTGCCAGGCCTCTACTGCAACTGTCTTCAGTTCCTGCTTGTTCTTGGGGCATTTTCCCTTCAGTTTTGTCTTCAGCAAGTGAAATGCTCAATCGGATTCAGGTCAGGTGATTGACTTGGCCATTGCATAACATTGCACTTCTTTCCCTTAAAAAACTCTTTGGTTGCTTTTGCAGTCTGCTTTGGGTCATTGTCCATCTGCACTGTGAAGCGTCCAATGAGTTCTGAAGCATTTGGCTGAATATGAGCCGATAATATTCCCGAAACACTTCACAATTCATCCGGCTGCTTTTGTCAGCAGTCACATCATCAATAAATACAAGAGAAGCAGTTCCATTGGCAGCCATACATGCCCACGCCATGACACTACCACCACCATGATCACTGATGAGGTGGTATGGACGGATCATGAGCAGTTCCTTCTCCATACTCTTCTCTTCCCATCACTCTGGTACAAGTTGATGTCGGTCTCATCTGTCCATAGGATGTTGTTCCAGAACTGTGAAGGCTTTTTTACATGTCGTTTGGCAAACTCTAATCTGACCTTCCTGTTTTTGAGGCTCACCAATGGTTTCCATCTTGTGGTGAACCCTCTGTATTCACTCTGGTGAAGTCTTCTCATGATTGGTGACTTTGACAGACATACACCTACCTCCTGGAGAGTGTTCTTGATCTGGCCAACTGTTGTGAAGGGTGTTTTCTTCACCAGGGAAAGAATTCTTCGCTCATCCACCACAGTTGTTTTCCGTGGTCTTCCGGTCTTTTGGTGTTGCTGAGCTCACCGGTGCGTTCCTTCTTTTTAAGAATGTTCCAAAAAGTTGTTTTGGCCACGCCGAATGTTTTTGCTATCTCTCTGATGGGTTTGTTTTGTTTTTTTTCAGCCTAATGATGGCTTCACTGATAGTGACAGCTCTTTGGATCTCATCTTGAGAGTTGACAGCAACAGATTCCAAATGCAAATAGCACACTTGAAATGAACTCTGGACCTTTTATCTGCTCATTGTAATTGGGATAATGAGGGAATAACATAGAAAGAGCAGGGCCCTCGATCCCCTCATGTATCACATTGTATTGGTATTGTTCTGTCACATGTTCTGTCCCCCTTTGTAATGTACAGCGCTGAGTTAACTATTGGCGCTTTATAAATACTGTATAATAATAATAATAATAACACACACCTGGCCATGGAACAGCTGAGAAGACAATTGTCCCATTACTTTTGGTCCTTTAACAAGTGGGAGGCACATATGCAAACTGTTGTCATTCCTACACCGTTCACCTGATTTAGATGTAAATACCCTCAAATTAAAGCTGACAGTTTGCAGTTAAAGCACATTTTGTTCGTTTCATTTCAAATCCATTGTGGTGGTGTATAGAGCCAAAATGTTATAATTGGGTCGATGTCCCAATATTTATGGACCTGACTGTATATATATATATATATATATATATATATATATATATATATAGTACATATGTATATATATATTTTTTTATATATTATATAAAAATCATATTTAAAAAAATATATATAATGTTTGGCGGTTCTAGCAAAAAAAAATGTTTTTTACATGTAGGAGAGGAATGTCAAACGTGATTAAAGAAGACTGTGTTTTTGCGCATTAAAATTCATCAAAGTTTTATTCTGCCAGAAATAATTTGCGTTCGAAAAAAACTGCTGCACCTATATAGCGTGATATAAAAATCTGCAATAATTGCATTCTCTAGGTCCTCTTACCTAAAAAATTATATATATATATATATATATATATATATATAAAAATATATTTTATATATTATATAAAAATTATATTAAAAAAAGATATATAATGTTTGGCGGTTCTAGCAAAAAAAAAAAGTTTTTTACATGTAGGAGAAGAATGTCAGACGTGATTAAAAAAGACTCAGCTAGGACAGCTCGTGTGTTGTTCGATCCTCGCCAGCTCACTTCCTCCTTTCTGCGATATTCCCCCATAGATGTGTAGAAGGGGCCCTAATGAGGATTTTTGACAATGCTGGAAAATCTCTCTGAATGTTCCCCTTTTTTTCTTAGCAGATGTCGAACCGTCACTGGGAGCGTCACCGCGGGAGTACGACTGACGGCTATGAGAGGCAATTGAAGTTCTCATCATCTGACGGGAGACGTCATATCGCTGGATCTCTGTTCCCTGAAACGTTGATACATTGTGTTCCTACCGGCATGAGAAATGTCTGACAATGAGAAGAATACTTACGCCAGTATGAGGACAGCGAGACCATTTCTGCGGTGAGGTGGGCGAGATAGACGATGAGGAAGATGAAGAGGGGCTCTATGATGCGCACTCGCTTGGTGAATCGAGTGATGAAGGCCAGCAGGAAAGCGAACACCAGACCCACCGCCGTCCCCCCGAGACTGACCACGAAGAAGGAGCCTGCAAGAGAGACAATAGCTGGCTGAGATGGCTGAGTGGTTAGCACCTCCATCTGGCAGCACTAGGGTCCCTGGTTGGGCAATTTCTGGAACCGATCCCCTGTATGGCTCTCTCTGCAGCAGCTGAAAGCCGGCTTCTTCCCCTCTCCCTATCAGCAGCTGAAAGCCACCTTCTTCCCCTCTCCCTTTCAGCAGCTCAAAGCCGGCTTCTTCCCCTCCCTATCAGCAGCTGAAAGCCGGCTTCTTCCCCTCTCCCTTTCAGCAGCTGAAAGCCGGATTCTTCTCCTCTTCCTTTCAGCAGCTGATAGCCGGCCTCTTCTCCTCTCCCTTTTAGCTGCTGCAGAGAGAGCCATACAGGGGATCGGTTCAAGGAATTGCCCCCCACCGTGCCAATCACCCTCTCTGCCCACATCTGAATCACCCAGTTGCTTAGGCCCCCCCTGCTGGCCTGGGCCCCGTACAAGAGGACTGGTGGTACCCCCTTATCCATGTCCCTGGGTCCATGTATAAAAACGATGGGACAAATATCCACACATTTAGGACAAAAATTGCGTGGTTTTTTTTACGTTTTTTTTATTATATATATATTATAATTTTTATTAAAGTTTTGCATGAAAATGAACACATTCCCTGTAGATTGTAAGCTCTATGAGCGGGGCCCTCCAGTTCCTTCTGTATCGGACTGTATTGTAAATGTACTATCCCCCTTTATATTGCAAACTGTTGGCGCTATATATAAATCCTGTATAATAAAATATATAAATCCTGTATAATAATAATATATAAATCCTGTATAATAATAATAATAACAACAACAACAATAACAATAATAATAACAACAATAATAATAATAACAATAATAATAACAACAATAATAATAATAATAATTCACATACTCCATAAATTGCAAGTTCCTCAATTCTTCGTTATGGAAACCATAGTTCAGTCAACAATTCATAATAAAAATTGCTGAATGTTTTCTAATACAGGCGTACCTCGGTTCACAAATTTAATTTGTTCCGAAATGTGGTTTCCCATAGGAATGCATTGAAAACCAATTAATTTGTTCCAGAGGTCAGAAAAAAAGTAAAACAAAGTATTTTATCCGTTCAAAAATGCTTTATAAAGTGCAGTTTAACCACTTCCCGTCTGGCCCATGTATATAAACGGCCGGACGGGAGCAGTGCAGGGGCGGGTGGCCGTTTATAAATGTCCTCCAGCTTCCCTGTGCTTGTGCGTGCTCCCTAGGAGCGTGCGGCACCACAATAAGGTGCCTGCTGTGTCCGGAGGAACACCGATTGCTGTACGGAACCTCTGTGTGAGGTCCCGATCATGTGATCACTGATTGGCCAATCAGTGATCACATGAAGAGTAGTAAGCAAGATGTCACTACCAGACATCATTGCTTACTACCTGTGAAATCTGTGAATGATCACAGAGGTCACATGCTACAGGGCTATTCACAACAGCCTTTGTACCACGTGACAATGTGTGACCAATCACAGCTCACACAGTATTTTTCAATGGCAGCAGGAATGCAGCCAGAGAGAAGGAGAAAATGATTTCTTTTACAGCCTTTATGGGTGTAAAAGCAATCCATGTAAAAAAAAAAAAAATCTTCATCACTCCCCCACAAGTAGTACAGTGTCACCATGGTGATGGTATGTAAAACACAAAAAAAAAAACATAAATAATAATATAAAAACATAAAAGAAATATGTAAAAAAAAACTTTTTTAAACATTATAATTTCTGGTTATAAACTAATTTGGGTTATTTTTTTTTTTTTTTACTAAAAAGATAACTGAATAAATTTGGCCAAGATTTATGAAAAAAGATTATTTATTTGCAAAATTTTATAAGAAAAACTATTTTTTTCAAAATGTTTGGACTTTTTCATTTATATAGCAAAAAAAAAATAATCCCAGTGGTGAATAAATACCACCAAAATGTCCGGACTGGAAGGGGGGGAAGTGTCCAGAGTGGAGGGGGGGGGGAAGTGTCCGGACTGGAAGGGGGTGAAAGTGTCCAGACTGGAAGGGGGTGAAAGTGTGTCCGGACTGGAAGGGGGGGAAAGTGTCCGGACTGGAAGGGGGTGAAAGTGTCCGGACTGGAAGGGGGTGAAAGTGTCCGGACTGGAAGGGGGGGAAAGTGTCCGGACTGGAAGGGGGGGAAAGTGTCCGGACTGGAAGGGGAGGAAAGTGTCCGGACTGGAAGGGGAGGAAAGTGTCCGGACTGGAAGGGGAGCAAAGTGTCCGGGCAGGAAGGGGAGGAAAGTGTCCGGACTGGAAGGGGGTGAAAGTGTCCGGACTGGAAGGGGGGGAAAAGTGTCCGGACTGGAAGGGGAGGAAAGTGTCCGGGCAGGAAGGGGAGGAAAGTGTCCGGACTGGAAGGGGAGGAAAGTGTCCGGGCAGGAAGGGGGTGAACGTGTCCAGACTGGAAGGGGGTGAAAGTGTCCGGACTGGAAGGGGAGGAAAGTGTCCGGACTGGAAGGGGAGGAAAGTGTCCGGACTGGAAGGGGGGGGAAAGTGTCCGGACTGGAAGGGGGTGAAAGTGTCCGGACTGGAAGGGGGGGAAAGTGTCCGGACTGGAAGGGGGGGAAAGTGTCCGGACTGGAAGGGGGTGAAAGTGTCCAGACTGGAAGGGGGGGAAAGTGTCCAGACTGGAAGGGGGGGAAAGTGTCCGGACTGGAAGGGGGGGAAAGTGTCCGGACTGGAAGGGGGTGAAAGTGTCCGGACTGGAAGGGGGTGAAAGTGTCCGGACTGGAAGGGGGGGAAAGTGTCCGGACTGGAAGGGGAGGAAAGTGTCCGGACTGGAAGGGGAGGAAAGTGTCCGGACTGGAAGGGGAGCAAAGTGTCCGGGCAGGAAGGGGAGGAAAGTGTCCGGACTGGAAGGGGGTGAAAGTGTCCGGACTGGAAGGGGGGGAAAAGTGTCCGGACTGGAAGGGGAGGAAAGTGTCCGGGCAGGAAGGAGAGGAAAGTGTCCGGACTGGAAGGGGAGGAAAGTGTCCGGGCAGGAAGGGGGGTGAACGTGTCCAGACTGGAAGGGGGTGAAAGTGTCCGGACTGGAAGGGGAGGAAAGTGTCCGGACTGGAAGGGGAGGAAAGTGTCCGGACTGGAAGGGGGGGGGGGGGAAGTGTCCGGACTGGAAGGGGAGGAAAGTGTCCGGACTGGAAGGGGAGGAAAGTGTCCGGACTGGAAGGGGAGGAAAGTGTCCGGGCAGGAAGGGGGGGTGAAAGTGTCCAGACTGGAAGGGGGTGAAAGTGTCCGGGACTGGAAGGGGAGGAAAGTGTCCGGACTGGAAGGGGGTGAAAGTGTCCGGACTGGAAGGGGAGGAAAGTGTCCGGACTGGAAAGGGGTGAAAGTGTCCGGACTGGAAGTGGTTAAAGGCATAAATACTGTACAGGGACATGATTAAAAATGAATTTGTAAATGCATTGAAAACCAATTATTCCATTCGTATTGAGAAAAAAATTCGTAAACCGAGGCGTTATTTTCAATGGATTTTCATTTGTAAACCGAAAATGATGTTAACCGAGACGTTTGTAAACCGAGGCGCGCCTGTATCTGTAGTTGCTATATCACGGGTGTCAAACTGGCGGCCCTCCAGCTGTTGCCAAAGTCTCATGAGACATTGCAAGATTGACAGTTACAAGCATGACTCCCAAAGGCAGAGGCATGATGGGACTTGTAGTTTCACAACAGCCGACAGGCCGCCAGTTTGACACCCTTGTTCTATATCATCAGCTCCACCTAGTGGCCATAATGTGTTTTTTCCTGGTTAAGGTAGTTATGGAAAAAAAAAAGCAGTATGGTCAGTAGGTGGCGCTGAAGATATAGGAACTTTATATATTAGGGAAAACACAGCGATTTTCTTTCTAAATTTCCGTTTTCTTGCAATGTTGGCAGAACAAACGTTTTATACATAGAGCCTTTATTATTATAACAAGACCAGCAATGCCACCAGCATCTGTATGTGCCATTGCCCCCCCCCCAGACACAGGGCGAGGCGAGAGCTCCTGATTATATGCCCTTCCCTGAAAGCGTTGCCATCCATATTACATTGGCATTGACTCGCAGGATTCTTCCTTGTCTCAGTAATGACACGGGCGGGCGAGGCGGGCGAGAGGACGCAGGATATATATAGCTGACATTTCAGGGCGGGAGGAGATGGGAACATTAGCTGCTTTAATTAAAAAAAAAAAGTCCTGAATGACACCCATGAGACTATTTATTGACAACTGTACTGGAGGTTCTACCAGCCAGTCCTTTATTAGCCTGCATTGTCAGTTTGTGAGGCTTGATAGAGAGAGAGAATATGTAGAATCCATGACAGAGACGATCTAGAACAGCGATGGTAAATTGCTTGAAGTACGGGGCCCCTGACATCCCCAAAGGGCCTCAAAAAATGTTATGTGAACGTCACGCCACAGAAAGCAAACCAAGAATGCAAACAGGCAACAGGAGACGGTCAGAGAGACTGCAGACATGAACAAGAGATGGTCAGAGACTGCAGACATGATACAAGAGATGGTCAGAGACTGCGGACATGATACAAGAGATGGTCAGAGACTGCAGACAGGATACAAGAGATGGTCAGAGACTGCAGACATGATACAAGAGATGGTCAGAGACTGGGGACATGATCCAAGAGATGGTTCTGCAGCAGAGACTGCAGACGTGATACAAGAGATGGTCAGAGACTGCAGACACGATACAAGAGAAGGTCAGAGACTGCAGACATGATACAAGAGATGGTTAGAGACTGCAAACATGATCCAAGAGATGGTCAGAGACTGCAGATATGATACAAGAGATGGTCAGAGACTGCAAACATGATCCAAGAGATGGTCAGAGACTGCAGACATGATACAAGAGATGGTCAGAGACTGCAGACATGATACAAGAGATGGTCAGAGACTGCAGACAGGATACAAGAGATGGTCAGAGACTGCAGACAGGATACAAGAGATGGCCAGAGACTGCAGACTTGATACAAGAGAAGGTCAGAGACTGCAGACATGATACAAGAGAAGGTCAGGGAAAACTGCAATATTTCTAAAGGAGAATGGCCAGAGACTGCAGAATTATTAAAGGACATGGTCAGACATTACTAGCATGATACATAAGCTGATCAGAGAGTGCAGAATTTTCACAGGAGATGGTTAGAGAACAGGGGCATGCTACAAAAGATAGCTTGAATAAGTGGTGAAATGTTCAGAGCAGGGGCGGACTGACCATTTGGAAACTCGAGCACTGCCCGAGGGCCCGGGGTCAGTAGGGGGCCCCATGAGATGCCCCTGGTACCTTTTTCATAGGCTTTTTTTAGTTTGGGCAAGGACACAGGGGCCCCATGATCCCCTATTGCCCGGGGCCCCATGAGTTGTCAGTCCACCCCTGGTTCAGAGACCGCACCATGGATTCACACGGCGGCTGTGCCATCTCTGAACTGGCATCTCAGTGCAGTAGATGCTACCCTGGATGATGCCTTAACAAAGATGGCTCCATCCTTTCGGAGAACAAAAGCAGATTAGAGGATTCTCAAGGTAAGTACCCGGATCTGTTAGAAGTCATACATTCGGAAAGTGTTACACTGACATTACTTTTAGAGCCGGTTCCCACCATGAATTCCACAGGAACATGTTGTGCGTTCCTGCCTGTGCGTTCCCATGTGCGATTCCCGTGTGATCCGGGTGCAGTGCGATTTCAGTTTCTTCATTTAAATGAGCTGAAGTCGCACCCCATCAAAGTTAGTGCATTCTCTAGGCCAGGGGTTTTTGAGAGCCGCAAGACTACAAGTTCCCATCATGCCTCTGCAAGTCATAGCTATAACTGTCAGTTTTTGTAAAATCTTTGCAATGCCCATGGGAAATGTAGTTTCCACAACAGTGGAGAGCCACAGGTTGCTAATCGCATGGCCTAGGCGTTTTTTTTTTTGTTTTCTGCCTTTAGTTCTGCATTAATCCCGGGACGTGTCTGGCAGGTAAAACGTTGTGAATCGCATCCCACATCACTCACCTACGCCTTTCATATAATCCACAGCCTGGACGTTGTGTGGGCCCATCTCAACAAAGGAGTTAAACACCTTATACAGAACCTGCAAAAGCGCAAAAAAAAAAAAAAAAGTTAAAAATAAGCAGCAGCCGATATAAATGTCAGCGAGCGCAGAATCTTCACAGCTACAGAAAGGAAATAACAACGACTTGTTAATGACAGATTGTAGAATTATGAAATGAGAAAGAAGAGCGCAGTGCGATCTTAAAGTGAGAGCTGCAGTTTGGTCAGCTCCAGACGCGTCCTCCACGGGCTGCTAGGAGGGTGATTGCCACTCCCCCGGACTCTAGGAGAAGGTTCTGGAAGTTAGAGCGGGAGGATTCCAATACCCGGCCCTGAGTATTTAGTAGGGTCAGGGCTGGAGCTAGACTATGTTGTGCCCTAGGCAAGACCAGCTACTTGCACCACCCCACCCCCACCCCCCAAAAATAAAGCTTCACCTGTAGTTCTACTTCACTCCTCCTAGAACACATCCTTCTTCCCCTTATATTTTCCACCCTAGCACAAATCCACCCCCCCAATCCCTCCCCCCCCGCATAACTATAAATCCCCCTAAATCCCTCCTCCTAGCACACCCCTCCAAATTACCCTAACCAGCACAGATCCTTCCTCCACACCCAAATCCCCCTCCTAGAACAACCCCCCACAATTCCAGACCCCGCATTCACTATATCCGCTCTCCCCAGACCCCGCATTCACTATATCCGCTCTCCCCGGACCCTGCATTCACTATATCCGCTCTCCCCGGACCCTGCATTCACTATATCCGCTCTCCCCGGACCCCGCATTCACTATATCCGCTCTCCCCGGACCCCGCATTCACTATATCCGCTCTCCCCGGACCCCGCATTCACTATATCCTCTCTCCCCGGACCCCGCATTCACTATATCTGCTCTCCCCGGACCCCGCATTCACTATATCCGCTCTCCCCGTACCCCGCATTCACTATATTTGGTCTCCCCGGACCCCGCATTCACTATATCCGCTCTCCCCGGACCCCACATTCACTATATCCGCTCTCCCCGGACCCCGCATTCACTATATCCGCTCCTCTCCCAGGACCCCGCACTTCACTATATCCGCTCTCTCACGGACCCCGCATTCACTATATCCGCTCTCCCCGGACCCCGCATTCACAATATATCCGCTCTCCCCGTACCCTGCATTCACTATATCCGCTCTCCCCGGACCCCGCATTCACTATATCCGCTCTCCCCGTACCCTGCATTCACTATACCCGCTCTCCCCGGACCCCGCATTCACTATATTCCGCTCTCCCAGGACCCCGCATTCACTATATCCGCTCTCCCCGGACCCCGCATTCACTATATCCGCTCTCCCCCAGGACCCCGCATTCACTATATCTGCTCTCCCGGACCCCGCATTCACTATATCCGCTCTCCCCGCATTCACTATATCCGCTCTCCCCGGACCCCGCATTCACTATATCCGCTCTCCCGGACCCTGCATTCACTATATCCGCTGTCCCTGGACCCGCATTCACTATATCTGCTCTCCCCGGACTCCGCATTCACTATATCGCTCTCCCTGGACCCGCATTCACTATATCTGGTCTCCCACAGTACATAAAAAACATGGAAATGTAATTATTTTAGTAATATAAAACTGCTAAATCCCTTTTCTCATCAGCAGTATATAACAGTTTCATGACTTCTATCAGTGTCCAGCAGAGCACTGGTTAAAGCTTGTAGGAGGAGTTTTCATTCTGCTCTAGGAGGATGCAGGACCCCTGACTCCCTGTCTGGACAGTGCTGATTGGCCCTGTGCTGATCACATGCACTCTCCCAAGAAATGGAAAAAACCTCTCTAGCAATACACACCAAACTGAGCATGTGCAGAGTGACTACACACTATATGCCTTATCAAGAGATAAGAGAGGGACACTGGAAGAAGGGGAAGATCAGAGAAGACATGATCAAACAGCCTTTTTACACAATACAGAGGATTAACCCTTAGGTTCCACAGTGAGTATAACAAGCACGCTTTACTGCATCTACAGACTGATTGTACTGTTGGGGGTTCAGAACACTTTACTACAGTCAATAAAACATGAGAAAACCAAAACAATATTACCGGATAGACAACCAGAAATTCCAATAGATTTGGTGCCACGGGAACCGGAATAACTTTTGTAAGTCCTAGAACAAACTGTCCTCACAATCGAATAAATCCCTCCGGAATGTTAAAGCGTATGTTATCCCGAGAAAATGTAATATATTACGGCTTACCGGTCCTTAGATCTGCTGATGCAGCACTTTCCTTTTTTTTTTTTACAGACATTTTCCCCTCCACTTCCTCTGGGGATCCTGACCTGATCCTGACCCATCTTAGGGTGACCCCTATCCAGTGTACTGTATTGATGGAGGAACAGTGGTGTCACCAGTGGTGTATTTAGCTTTTGTGCTGCCCTAGGCAACACATAAATCGGCGTGCACAATTGCCACGTGTGTCTCTTCTTCTGTCCATTCCTCCCAGGGGCAGTGCTGCCCCCCTGAAAAATGTCGCCCTGGGCAAATGCCTTGCGGTAAATACACCTCTGGCTGTCACCCTAGGGCAGCATTCAGATCAGGGGTGGACTGACAACTCATGGGGCCCCCTGGGCAATAGGGGATCAAGTGGCCCCTGTGTCATCGCCCACACTCAAACCACACCCAAATAAGCCTATGTAAAAGCCTATGAAAGGTTCCAGGGGCATCTCATGGGGCCCCCTACTGACCCCGGGCCCTGGGTGCCGGTGCCCGAGAGTCCAAATGGTCAGTCCTCCCCTGATTCAGAATACAGACTACCTCCTCCCCCCCAAAAAAAATAGATGGGAACAATTTGACTTGTAGGAGTGCAGCACAGGAAGTTATCAGCTCACAAGATTTCTGGCAGGATTGACAGACTTCTTGCATTAAAGTGCTGAATTTAGGAAGTGTTTCTGAGATTTCAGAAGCAGGGGGAGGGGATTTGATGTCACACACTGCACAGCTCAGACAGGACAGCCGAGTGTCCTCTGAGACCTGAGTCAGGGGCGTAGATAAAGGGGGGGGGGTCAGGGGGGGTCACAATGGTACACCAGCTAGGCTAGTGTAGCCTTTCACTAGGATGGTGAGCGCTCAACCCATCTCAATGGGAGAGCAGGGAGGGAAATCCCCATCCTGTATAATGTGTGCAGTTACAGTTTATCCATCTCTGACAGTGAGCGCGTCTATTAGTTAAGGAAATCGTTCATTTTTGCCACGCCCCCAATTTGTCACCACGGACACGCTTATTATTGCCCTCCGGGTACCCAAGGTTGAACCCCACCCCAGAGAACTGAACCCCCCCCCAGGAAAAAAAAATGTCTATGGCCCTGACCTGAATGGAGGAAAAGGACACACTCCCCCCCCTATACAGTCTCATAAGGAAACATGCAGAGCTGAGGCTGTCAATCACAGGCTCTGTGCTGTAGCCCCCCCCCCCCTCCACTTCCCCCTCTATTCCTTGGAGTTCCTACAACCCGCCAGAAATGACACATAGGAAGAAGACTGAAGACACAAACTGCACTCCGCCCTTTGGACTGAGACAAGTACACACTGTAGAGGGATATGCTTTGTTCATTTTTCCTGCCTGAGGTTTACTGTAAAGCGGTATTAAACCCAAAAGAAAACATTTATTATATTGCAGCTTACCAATGTGACGGCTGCATTGGTTTTCCTCTGTAGGCTTTTGTTATCTTATTTTTTTTACCTGGTGATCCAGCCAGTAAGTCTGTTGGTTTTCAACAGAACAAGCAGATGTAGCAGTTATGAACGCACATGTCCCTATTTAAATTGAAGAAAAAGAGAGAGGGAAAAATTAACTGGAACGTGTCTAAAATGCATCAAATACGCACAGAAAGTCGGTGATATGGTGGTCAGTGTCATAGATCACACCAGTGCTGGCAGTTCCAGTGCGTTCCGGATGAAGAAAAAAAAAAAGTAGAACAGGCGGCATTCTTTCTGCACAGAACTGCATTGGAACGCGGTAAAACGCATAAAAAACGCACCGGAACACGCATGTCCTTATTTGAATAAAGAAAAAGAGGGGGGGGGGGGATAAACTGGAATGTGTAAAAAAATGCACACGGAATGCATCCAAAATGCATAAAAAACGCATACAAAAACGCATCCGGAACGCATCTGGACTGCGTTCCTATGGTGTGAACCGGCGCTTGAAGCATTAGTGCTAGAGTTTGGCTTCAGTTTGTTAGTGTATCCAGTGGCGTCCCGAGGCAGGTGCAGGGTGTGTGCGCCGCACCGGGTGACACCTACCACACGGGGTGACACCGGACCCGCTCCACGAAAAGGTAAGTTGTAAAGCAAGCCAACGATCCCCGCAGCATGGATCCGATCCATTATGCTCCCCACTCTGCAGATCCCATCCATCCTGCGGGGATCGTCGGCTTTCTTTCTTTACAACTTACCTTTTCGTGGAGCGGTTCCGGTGTCACCCCGTATAGGTCGCATGCCAACGATGGATGGGATCTGCGGATTGGGGATCATAATGGATCGGACTCCGATCCATTATGCTCAATCCGCAGATCTGATCCATCCTGCGGGGATCGTCAGCATGCAACCTATACGGGGTGACCGGCTCCACGGACCCGCTCCACGAAAAAGGTAAGTTGTAAAGAAAGCCGACGATCCCCGCAGGATGGATCGGATCTGCGGATTGGGGATCATAATGGATCAGACTCCGATCCATTACGCTCAATTCTGCGGGGATCGTCAGAGGGGGGTGTCACAAAGTGTTATCGCACCGGGTGACACCAACCCTAGGGACGCCCATGAGTGTATCTAAATCTGCTAACAGTCTCCTCCCCCCAGACTGACAATGGTGCTGTCCAAAGGTGCCCCCCCCTGTGCACCTTCCTCCAGAGTTGGGGGGGGCGCTTTAATACAGGAGGTGTGTTACTGGCCAGATCAGGTGAAAACAGAGGAGAAAAAAAAAGGCGTAAAAAAGAAAACGAATGCAGCCGCCACCTCTAATGATTGGTAAGCTGCGATACAGGACACTTT